ATGGACGGGGCCTTTACCCATCAGGCCAACCTACAGGTAAGGGATTTGATTTGTTGATTGGTTATTTGGTTGGTTGGTTGGTTGATTGGTTGATATGTTGGGAAGGAGGGATTTGATAGGTTGATTGGTTGGTTGATTGGTTATTTGTTTGATTGGTTGGTTAAGAATGAGATCTCTTACATAGAGAACAGGGCCTTCGCCCATCAGGCCAACCTACAGGTAATTGGTTTGATTGTTTGATTGGTTGGTATGTTGGTTGGTTGGTTGGTTGGTTGGTTGGTTGGTTGGTTAGTTGGTTGGTTGGTTGATTGGTATGTTGGTTGATTGATATGTTGATTGGTTGGTTGGTTGATTGATTGGTTAATTTATATGTTGGTTGGTTGGTTGATTGATATGTTGGTTGGTTGATTGATTGATATGTTGGTTGATTGATATGTTGGTTGATTGGTTGGTTGGTTGGTTGATATGTTGGTTGGTTGGTTGACAACAAGATCTCTTACTTCAGGGATGGGCAACTCCAGTCCTCGGGGTCCTGATTGGTGTCACACTTTTGCCCCAGTCCCAGTGTACACACCTGACTCCAATAATCAGCTAATCAGTTTAGAATGCAATCAGTTTAATCAGCTATGTTTGCTAGGGATGGGGAAAAAGTGTGACACCACTCCGGCCCCCGGGGACTGGAGTTTCCCATCCCTGTCTTACATAGAGGCCGGGGCCTTCACCGATCAGACAAACCTACAGGTGAGGGAGGAGTGGGGGTTTGATTGGTTGATTGGTTGGTTGTTTAGTTGTTTGGTTGTTGGTTGTTTAGTTGTTGGCTCGATTGGTTGACTGGTTTATTTACTGATTGAGTCAGTTGACTGGCTGATTTTATTTGACTAATGCATATTAAGTTTCTACATTCATACAAAACCATTTAGGGTTAATACAATGCAACTATCAAACAATACCCTATTCTCCATATTATAGATCAATACTTTTGACTAGACAGTGTGTTTTTGAGTGATAAGGGGTGTCATTTGAGATAGCTAAAGATTTCCTGCATTTTCACTGGAACTATTCCCCAAAATGAAACCATTCCCCATCTTCATTTAACAGCCCAATTACATGGAAGCCATCGTTTTCATTAGAACCAGAGTCGATGGCACACAGGGATGTTGCTATTTGTACTTACTAAGATGGAGGAGAGGCCAAGTACTTACTGTATTTCCATTGTGGTCCCTTCTTATCCTAGGTCCTCCATCTATTCTCCATACAGTGCACTAATTCAAAAAGCAGTCTCTTCATAGGGAACATGGTGTCATTTGAGATGCCAAAGTCTTATTGTTTCTCCATTGTGGTCTCCTCTTATCCTAGGTCCTCCAGCTGGGTTACAACAAGCTGACCAACCTGACAGAGGGGATGATGCGTGGCTTGGGCCGCTTGCAGTGCCTCTTCCTCCAGCACAACCTCATCGAGGTCATCGACAACAAAGCATTTGAGGAGTCCAGCTCCAGCCTCAGCAGCATCGACCTTTCGTCCAATAAGCTGGCCCGGATCGACCCGTCAACTTTTACCGTGCTAAACCGGTTAATGGTCTGCGAGCTAGCAGGAAATCCTTTCCATTGTGGATGTGATCTGTATAGTTTTCTTACTTGGTTGGAGGCGTTTAATAATGTGACGCATACGTACGACCGGCTCCAGTGCGAGACCCCTGGTGAGCTGTTTCTCTACCCGCTCCTGAGCCCCGTGGCCGGACATGGACGCAACGCTCGCACCATGCTCTCGTCCATCTGTCGCGACGGCATGATCATACCCGGGATCACGTCTCAACCCGGCACCGACTGGGAGGGCTCCGGGATGGGCCCGGAGATGGACGGCCGGGCCGGGCCGTATCATCAACCGACAGCTTCGTCCACGGCCGACCCCAACTTCAACCCCAGCATCAAACTCCAGTGGGTCACTTTGTCTGCAGCCAAGCTGTTGGTCCAGATCCCTAAACCATACAGCAAGATGTACGTCCTGGTTCAATACAACCAGAGCTTCGTCTCGGACATCCAAAACCTCAAGGAGAAGAAGGAGAAGGTGACTTTGGTGGATCTCAAACCTCACACCAACTACACCTACTGCGTAGTGTCTATAAGTAAAAACCAGCGCAACAACCACACGTGCATCTTCTTCGCCACTCGAGCAGCAGGGCCGGATGACCACCACGGCAACCCGTCGACCATGACGCACTACATCATGACGATCCTGGGGTGTCTGCTGGGAATGGTGATCGTGCTCGGGCTCGTCTACTACTGCCTGAGGAAGCGTCGGATGCAGGAGGAGAAGGAGAAGGTGATCAGCGTGAAGAAGACCATCTTGGAGATGCGGTAAGAGGGACAGACCCAATGTATATAAATTATTTAGGTTTTATTTTCTTTTATCGCCTTATTGTTTTATCGCCTTATCTCTTTCATTCCATTTTATTGTTGTTACTATAAAGTGTGTTTGTGATTTAAATGCACTTTAATTAAATAAAGTTTGATTTCAGGTTTGATTAACTCTAGATCAGATGCATCTGCATTGCACACAGCTATTTTACCTGAGATGTAAAATATTTATTCTTATGGATTTTATGCTTGGATTTTATTTACAGGTATGGACCGGAGGCTGCGGCACAGGCAGCTAACGACCCGGCAGCCATGCAGCATCTCCAGGAACAGGCCCAGAACCAGGGGCACCATGGAGGTCACCTCCATGGAGGAGGGGGCGGGGGTGGCGGGGGTAACAAACTACCCCCCTCCGCCTCCTCCAGCTCCGGCATGCTCCACGGTTCGGCCAACACCACCTCCTCCCGCCTCTCGACGCTTCCCCAAGTGGAGAAGATGGCCACAGCGTTCAGTGAAGCCATGGCGACCAGTAAAGGGAACTATATGGACGTGACGACTGGGGCAGGATTATCGGGAGATGGGGGAGGATTATCACTGGGAGGAGGAGTGGGGGAGGCGACACTGGTGGATATGCGAGGCATCAACGGTTGCAGTGAAGATGGAATGGACATTGGGAATGATTCGGACGACGGGCGCGGATCTGCGTCGGAGATCTCGACGATCGCCATGGAGGTCGACAAAGTCAACCAGATTATCAACAACTGTATCGACGCGCTCAAGCTCGACTCCCTTGTTGCAACGACAACATCTGGCGACAACCCTACTTCTCCTCCACCTGCTTGTATCACCTCCCTCGCTCGGAACCTCATCCCCCTCTCCCAAGGCCTCGCTGACACCTGCCAGATGCTCGCCTCCTCTCCCAAAATCCATGCCCCTCCGGCATTGACCCCCGTCCCCCTCGTCATGCCCCTCTCGGAGCGTCCCGGAATCAGCGGAGGGGGGTTTCTCTCACCCCCCTACAGGGACCCACCACCATTGGCGAATGCCGTACGACCCTTACAGAGGCAGCTGAGCGATACAGGTGTGATGGTCATGGGGGCTGGGAAGAACCGATGTAGCATGCCCTCAGCTGGAGGATCCATGAAGAGCACCAGGGTCTTCAGTCTGGATGTCCCGGAGCCCCGCAGCCCGGGCCCCAACTCCTGCCCACCGTACCCAGAGAAGGGGAGCCCTGTTGGGTGTGGGGAAACCATGGAGAGGCTCCCTCTGGTGGGTGGAAATAGTAGTGGTTGTGGTAGTGGTGGTGGTGGTGGAAATGGAATGGGTTGTGGTGGTGGGAACGGAATGGGAGGAGGGGTTAATGAAGGTGGGGTGAATGTCAATGGAGGTGGGGTGGGTTGCGGAGGGGGAGGAAGAGGAAGAGGAGGGGGAGGACCGGGTAAGCAGCAGCAGCAGCATCATCTGGAGGTACATCCAGACTACCACTGTTCTGAGCACCGGCACTCCTTCCCCGCCCTCTACTACGAGGGAGCCAATGACTCCCCCTCTCCCTCCCCATCCCAGAAGGCCTCCTTCCTCAAACCCCTGGGACGTACCAAGAGGGACCCTGCTGCCTACTCCCAGCTCTCCCCTTCCCGGCACCACAACTACTCCGGCTACTCCTCTGGCCCCGAATATTCCTCTGAAAATACCCTTCGAATCTGGGAGAGGTTCCGGCCGCACAAGAAAGGCCCTCGCGACCCTCACGAAGAGGCAACGTATATCGCTGCAGGCCACGCCTTAAGGAAGAAGGTTCAGTTTGCGAAAGACGAGGACCTCCATGATATCCTCGACTACTGGAAGGGGGTGTCGGCCCAGCAGAAGCTGTGAGAGATGCGGAGGTGGTGTAACCTAGAGGATGACATACAGAAGGAGAAGACAGTGATGTCATAATTCTCATGAACTCCCAGACAGTGAATGGACCTGAATCACAGAACTACAACTGTTGGCTCCCATGTGTACTTCCTGGTCTATTTTATGACATCATCTGTCTTCTCGTTCTTTGACTAATCCTAGGGTGTTACAACAGCAGACTCTGACAGGGGATGAGGAGGATAGTAGTAGAAGTTGTGGGAGAGACATTATGTAGTAGTAGTAGTAGCAGCATGACACAGGGTATTGGGTTTTTTCTACAGTTCCAAAATGGAACTACAGGGGTTCCACAATTCTACAAGGGGTTCTGAAGTCGTTCCACATAAATTCCACTGTTCCATTGCGGGTTCCATCGTGGTTCCACAAGAGTTCCACAGTTCTACAATGGCTCTATAGAGGTTCCAAAGTTCCATAAAGTGTTCTATAATGTTTCTGTAACGGTTCCGTAGGTGTTCTATAGTAGTTCTAGAGGTTTCAAAGTTCTACATGGAGTTCCATAATGGTTCCACACTGAGCTTCTAAGTAGTTCCACATTCTCATCTTTTCCAGTTTTGGGTAAACAAAAAAACAACAACAATATATCAGATTTCCTCTTGCCTGGCACTTTGGTCCTTGCAGGCTACCATAGAAAGACAGAGCCAGGGTAATGAGGACTCAGTAATGACTGCAGAGGGTTGTCACTAGCAGGTGTCCTAAGACTCATTATAACATACTGTATCTCCAAACAACAAGCAGCAGCATTACCCGTCTTAAATCCTGGTCCCTTAAACAGCACAGCTCATAATCCCATCAACATTCAATTCATTCACTAAACAGTGTGTGCGTCCCAAATGGCACCCTATTCTCTATTTTTTGCACTACTTTTGACAAGGGTCCACAGGGTTTCCATAGGGCTCTGGTCGAAAGTAGTGCACTATATAGGGAATAGGGTGCCATTTGGGATGTAGAAGTCATTTCACTCTAAAGCCCACCACCTGCCTCCCTAGCAGCGCCATTTAGAGCGCTAATTGAAAGGGGATGAGGAATTAGCAGTGTTTGCCTCAATCTCTTCTTCTTCCTTCGGAGGAGGGGGGAGGGAGGAGGGGGAGAAGGAAGAGAGGGAGGATGTTAAGCGATACTTATCGTGTTAATTGTTCTCGGCTGTAATTAGCCCAAGAACAAAACAGGTGGGGATGCTAGCGTGGGTGGACACACAGTGAGAGGACGACGTGAACCAGGCCCTGGAGCCCCTCTCTGTGTTTAGCAGGGGCGTGCTTATCGATTGGAAACACCTACACATGTTTTACAGAGCGTGGCATGCTATTGGAGCGCTCCGCCATTTTTAAAAATCCTTCTTCTTGGCCTTTTCTAAATCAGACATGTGGATTGATTAGATACATTTTGTTCAGATAGCAAGCAAGGAGGAAGGGACGTTTGCACACACACACACACACCCATGCACGCACACGCGCACACACACACACACACGTGTGTGTTCAGATTGCGTGTTCAGATTACTGTGAAGTAAGCCATTTTCCAGAACTGCTTGCTAACATTTCCCTGGCGTCGAGCCAATTTCTTATTTACAGGTATAGCATTTTTTTATTTTGATAAGAAAGTCAAAGCTTCCTTCGGGGGGAAGATTAAAATTAGCATTTCAATAGTGCTAGTCATGCAAAAACCACTTTAGGCTGGGTTAGGAGAGGTGGAGAGAGACGAGTGTTGGCTCCCATATTAAAGCAGAAGGTAATCATGTCAGGGTAGAGAGAAGGTTCCTAGTGGAACACACAGACCACACACAAGAAGTTACAGCTGAAATTAAAGACAATGCTAGTATGGTGATGTTTAGAAAAGCTAGAGTTCGCAAGGGTTCATGGTCTATTTTAGAGAGAGAGAGAGAGAGAGAGAGAGAGAGAGAGAGAGAGAGAGAGAGAGAGAGAGAGAGAGAGATATGGTTGTCTATGGAGAGAACGAGATCATATAACAGAGCCAAACATATAAAGAGTTAGTTTTTTTTACTATCTTCCATGTTGGCAGCAAATGTTCCATACAAAAAACATAGTGCCAAATATTCTATTTATAATGGCAATATATGAACATAGCCCAATTCTAATCTTTTGTTTTACTAATTGGTCTTTCGACCAATCACATCAGATCTCTTTTCACATCAGCTCTTTTTCAGAGCTGATCTGATTGGTCAAAATACCAATTAGTGGAAAAAAAGATCAGAATTGGGCTGTCTGTCTAAACGCAGCCTCTGCCTGGTCTCTGGTCTCTGTCTATGGAGAGGTGAGAGGTTATGTTTTGCATGTCAATTGTGCCCCTCTGCTAACAGAGCTTAGCCTCCGTAGTGGAGCCTGGTATAGATCAAAGTGTCCTCGTAACAGGGATACACTGACCAGGGAGATGGTTACCCCCGGTCAAAACACAAAATGGCTGACAGGAAGTGAACAGAGCTGGATGGTTTTGCTGCTCTCTGTATTCCTTTCTATACTGTTCTCTGAATGTGGAAACATGGACATTGAATTTTGATCACTTGGATGGAACTTTGAAAAGGGGGATTGTAATAAATGGGGCCACGGATGATTACTTACAAATAATAATAATAATAATAATAATAATAATAATAATAATAATAATATGGACTGAGTTATAAGATGTGTTGGAAGATGGAGCAAGGTTTGGTGATGCCTCTAGATCTGAGGACTCATTTGACCCAATATATTTGATTTACTTGAATGGATGCCTTAGTGCTACTTTCTATCCCAGTCTGGCCTTTGTGTAACATATATTAGTGCTACTTTACTTTAGGCCTACAGCATCCCAGTCTGGCCTTTGTGTAACATATATTAGTGCTACTTTACTTTAGGCCTACAGCATCCCAGTCTGGCCTTTGTGTAACATATATTAGTGCTTCTTTACTTTAGGCCTACAGCATCACAAATATATTTGATTTATATGAATTTATTTATTTTTGATGGATGATACAGTATGGCCTATCTCTGGACTCATTTGACCCAATATATTTGATTTACTTTAATGGATGTCTTAGTGCTACTTATAGACCTACAGCATACCAGTCTGTCATTGGTACAAAATATATTAGATTTAAATATGATATATTTTGGGGGGAATACATCTAATGGATACAGCATCACTGTATTGACCGATGACTCCTAGCACTCTGCTTGAATTAACGTTAATTGGGGGCATTCTGATCTGCTCATCTGTTCTGACTGGAATCATGAATCATTGCTTTGTTGGTATATTCTTATCCTCAGAATGACATTACTGACGTATAATGATATTCATAGACTGATTATATGATCTGGCTCTTTCCGTCTCTATCTCTCCCTCTTGCTGCAAGTCTCCACTCTTTCATCTCGTCCACCCTCTCCCTCTCTCCATCCTTCCCTCCCTCCACACCCTGATGTCCTGTTCCCTCTCTCATTCCCTCTGACCCACTTATGTTGGCTAATATAACCCAGCAACCACCAAGCACAAAAATACAACAACATGTAATTCACTCGCTTCTCTAGTTGTTTCATCCCTCCTTCCCTCCCTCCACCCTTGTCCGGTTTAATGGTCCAAATTAATGAGTCATTTGCAGAGGAGATGGTTGCATCCCAAATGGAACCCTATTCCCTATTGCACTACTTTTGACCAGGTCCCATAGGGTTCCTATAGGACTCTGGTAGTAGTGCGCTATGTAGGGATTAGGGTGCCATTTGTGCTGTGTGCAAGGTGTCAGGGCCAATGAGGAGAGGTCATGGGAGCCATGCTAATATGCTGATATTACTAACTCTGCCAGATTGAAGGGTTGATTGAAATTAATTAACGATTCCAAGGAGGACTTTCTTTCTTTCTTTCTTTCTTTCTTTCTTTCTTTTTCTTTCTGAGTGCGGGGGAGGGAGGGATGTATTCGTTTCTTGCTTTCTTTCTTTCTTTCTTTCTTATTTCTTTCGGTCTTTAGTATTCTGTCTTTCTTTCTACTTAGCTATATCTCTCTCTCTCTCTCTCTCTCTCCTCTCTCTCTCTCTCTCTCTCTCTCTCTCTCTCTCTCTCTCTCTCTCTCTCTCTTTCCCTCTCTCTCTCAGCGTAGCTGGCATAGCCACCCCTGATACAGGATCAGATTACTTCACTAGGATGAAAAAGTTTGACCTCAAAATTGACCTCAGATCAGTGTATAGGTCTTCGTCATCCTGTCTCCCAGAGGGAGGAAAGGGTATAGTCGGACAAAGTTGCCCCCATCCACTGATCTAAGGTCAGTTTAGAGGTTTCCTTCCTAATGGTTGAGGTTAGGATTGAGGTAGGGTAAGCTGTTCCTAGATCTGTGCCTACGGGTAACTTCCACTTCTGTCTCTGAGAGGCGAGGAAAGGGCAGATCTCTCAGAGCCTCTAAGCCAAGGCCTTATGGGAAATGGAAGTTCTATCCCATTTTCCTTGATGCCTATCAAAGGTGAGGAAAGGGCAGAACTTATCCTGCTAAGGCCTTATGGGAAATGCAGTCTTATTTCCATGTTCCTCAAGTCCTAATGCTTAACTTTGAAGCCTGCGTGTTTTGACAGTGAAGCAGCACACAGGTGGCGCTAGGTGTTAAAATGATGGAGATAGTGTGAATTAACAATGGCACTGTTTTCTTCACCTTTCTTCTCTCTGACCTACAAAATGGCCATCCACAGAATGGGTTCTGATGGAAAGGTCAAATGCAAGATCTCTATCTTACAGTAGATTTATGCTGCAAAGTGGAAGGTGTGTGTGTGTGTAGCGCTCCTGTTTATGACGAGGCATTAATTGGTCATATTTAATTAAGACTTTCATCGAATGCTGATGTACATAAAAATCCTTGCCCCCCCTCTTTCTTACTCCCCAGCTAATCAAATAGACTCACGTCCAGCAACAATGGGGATGTCAACCACACGTCTGCATTACTCAACAATCACCATCAATAAAACCTGATTTCAGTTGTATCAATTTGA